AATTTAAAGCTTATGGTAAAATGATCTATACATATTGATTGAGTGGCCATTTTCATTTGAATGAATTGATGATAAAGAGAGAAAATTGAATAAATCTAAGCAGGATAGTAGTATTTTCGCTTATCCATCTTGAGGTTTGATAAAAGAAGTTGAGATCGGGTAGGACCATGGAAGTACTATGGTATAGTGTCCAACTTAAACAAAATTATCGAAATATGTAAATTTTCGTGTTTTCTTAAAAATTTCAATTTTCAAGTATTTTTCTTAAGGACAGGGAAAGGATCAAGTTTAGGGTTGTGATTGCAGTTTGTAATATCATATTTTTTAGTACCATTTTCCTTCATTTTTAAGTACTTTGTGCTTTAATTTGTTAATATATTTGTAGGTTTTAATAAAAATTATGAAGAAGCATGGATAATACCAATCCAAGTAAAAATTATCCCAATGAGACAAGTATCATGGTATTTTACTGTGGAAGTTATTGTGACAAAACAAGGAGAAGACTAGCACACAAGAAACATAAGAAAAAGCGGAAAATGTTATAAAAGGTCAAGATTAGTGATGTGCCAATATCCCAGAGTGGCATTATTTGAGCAACAAATGAGAAATCGACGGAGTTGCATGTTTTCTACGATTACAAACTACCAAACCAGAAAATCACAAAATTATGATATGCCTAGGTTAAGATCGGCAAGATTATGTATTTTAATTTTTTTTCTTTATAATGTAAAACTCATTTTGTTATAAGGGTTCAAGTTTTATGATAAAGAAGACAAGTTTTGTAGCTAATTAGGGATGTGAAAATGCACGACACCAATAAATAACCATCCCAATATCTTTGTAAGGAAAACTTCTTATGTTTAAATGGAGAAGTTTAAGAGGTTTTGATGTCAAAATAACCTTCTCATGTTTAAATGACACTCTTGTTTTCTTTCCCATTTAATAAGCATCGCACAATTTGTCTTTTAAAAACTTATTTTTTTTAAAACTAACTACTAGGTTTTTAGGTGCTATCTTATTTAGAAAGTTAAAATGCACGTGGCTTAAGGGTTTTTGCCATAACTAAGAATCCTCATTCTTAGCTAATAAACACTTAGTCACATGCATTGAGACATCATCTAGATCAAGCATATAACTATTTCCAATTTTAGAACCCTTAAACACAAGGTCCTTACTAGTATTATGCTAAATTATATAACTAATATTATAAAACAAAACCAAATATCATTTGTGATGTAGTTGGCTAATACTTAGAAAGTTATGTTTAAGCCCTTTCACTAACAACATATTTTCAATGGTAATTGTGGAGGGTTTCCAACAACACCTTCACCATGAATTTTATCTTTAGTATTGTCTCCATAAGTGATGTGACCACTTTCCTTATCATCAAACTTGATGAACATGGAAGCATCTCCCGTCATGTGTCTTGAACATCCGCTATCTAGAAACCATAATCTTTTTTGTGGAGGTAAGATGTTCCTGTGACAAATCAATAATGTAATTAGGTCTCCAACTAGTGAGTCCTAATGTGACCCTTATCTGCACAATAATGGTAAATAGCTTTAGATGAAAACTCTTTCTATTTCTCCTAGTGACATGAGGGTTTTTCTTAAAAAGTTTCCCTCTTTCACTTGAAGAACTAGAAAAAGTATTATATAGTGTGACAGCATGTGTCAAATGTCCTTTAACAGTTTCAACTTCAGCTTTTAAAATTGGACAATTGGCACATTCCACAACTTCTATATTTTCAACTAAAGTATCTCAAACAATACAACGCCCTTCCATAAAAGATGTATGAACTTTCTTTAAACAATCTAAAGCACGATTAAGATTATTTATTTCCTCTTCAAGTGTATCAATAATTTCTTTTTAGAGAGCAATTTTCTTAAACGCTTTAATGGAATCAGCATACATGTCATTAAACGCATTAGTGTGCTCTTTTTCAGAATCAAAATTATATACCTTTAAGGTTCCTTTTTTCTTTTGTGCCCTTAAGCAAAAGTTGGAACATTCATCATCTAAACTTGAGCAAGAATCGAAATAGGAGCTTTCTACCTATTCTTCCCACGCGATGTAGGCTCTACAACCTTTGGAATATTTTCCCTTCGTCTTGTAGAAATCCTTGTCTTTGCTTTTATGATGTTTGGTGAGATTTGAACATATATTTATATAGTATCCCAATTTACCACATTCATTGCATGTAATCTCATCATCTTCTTTCTTGTGATACTTCTTTGATGGATGAGTATTTCTTAAATTCACTAGACCTTTATCGGTATGCTTGAGCTTGTTTCTCGTAAGATATCTATTGTAGTGTAAGACAAATAAACCAATTTCTTCCTTTTTGGAAGCTTCTTTGTCAGAACTATCACTTTCTTCCTTTGAGTTATTCACTTTTAAGGATGAAGCTTTCAAAGAAAGATCCCACTTCTCTTCTTTCCCTTTTTCTTTCTTCTTCGAATTTACTTCTTTATCGATGATTCGTTTCAGCTAATTCTAATACTCAGCTAACTTCCACAATAGTTTGTAATATCCAAAGTACTAAGATCATTTTCATGTTTTATTGCGGTTACTTTTGGTTGTCACTCCCTGCACATGGATCTCAATATTGTATTAGTAAAATCTTATTTTATTTTGGTTACTTTTGGTTATCCATCAAACCATGTATCAAGATCTTCTATTGATATTCTTCCAAACCATGGTTCAAGATTCTAATTGAAATGCTTCAGTCAATGCACCCATTTTTGTGGACTTGTGCCAGTCAATGCTAATACTTAACATTTTTCCTAATGCAACACTCAATTGACTTTTTCCCAAATAGAAATTTCATTCTAACATGTACTCAAGTAAGTTTCTTTAGGAAGACTCGCCTATGTCTTGCCAAAGAGCTGTAACTGACCCTCGTCTAGAAGGATCATATGAAACTTTAAAGGTTCAAGGCTAAATCAAAGCTCCGATTAGGCTCGTTAAGAAAACTCGAAAATGAGTCCGGGATTAAAAAATTTTGACCTCTAAGAGCCATCATGCTTAAGGGGCTATGTCGTGGTATAATTGGAAGAGACTTTGGGCGTGAGGCGAAAGGCCAACACTTGCCTTATCATGTCACCCTTTATTTGGTTCAAGTGTCCATTATGTGGAATCTTCGCCGATACTCTAATGGTTCATCCCATAACACACAATCGTGTGTGAAGCGTATACCATGTCACCAAATGTTATTTCAGGGAATCAACCACCCATTCATAGAGTGATTACTTCATTATAGGAAGAGTGGTGAATGTGTATGGTTGCTTCCTTCATATCTCACTTTTTTCTCTACGGATCTAGGTTCAATGGTCCATGCTACCAATACCCTTTCAACCTTCTTCTAGATAAAGAGACATGCTCCTCCTTGCCCGAAACAAATGATATTTATTAAAGAACACCTTCATTCTTTTATAATTCAATAAAATAAAATAAAAACTATAAAGTCGTACCCAAAGTAGGGATACCTCCTTGAACATCATTATTCCTTCTTTTACGGATAAGATATATCATAATTGAGATAGGGATGACAAACTATTATTTAATTGCAACTTTGGTCCACCTATTTTACCTTTTCTTGGATTTTGGTCCCTTTATTTTAAAAACCACAGTTTTAATCCCTTTTTTAAATTTTTGTGTTGGGTTTTAGTTTCCAAAACAGGACCAAAATCGACACAACTTGAAAAATAAATCAAAATTATAGTTTTTAAAATGGGGGATCAAAATCTAAAAAAGACAAAATTTCTAAGACAAATAAGAGTCACTTTCTTGTCCCTACCAAGAAATCAATAAGACTAAAAAAAGTCACTTTCTCTTTTTGCATATCAACAAACAAATATGTATGTGTGATCCTAATTAATTCAAAAAGATTTTTGACCAATTCAAAGTAGTCCATTTCATGACTAGTCTATATAGTTTTTACATAGAAATTTCTATCTCACCTCTCAATATATATAAAAATAAATGAATGCAACTTCTATCATCCCAAATCTCAAAACCCACAAAATAAAATAAGTCCACAATAATGCTTAACTAATGACCATGAGCTCGACCTCTACGTCTATCGGAACTAAGCTGCACCATCAACACCATACGCACCATCCAACACATCACGCATCTCCCGGTAAAATTGAACATAGTGGCGATAATTATCATTTTGATAATAACTCATATCACAGATGTCACCTTGAGTTGCAACATGGTTTAAAACCATATTGTGACGAATCTCGTTGAATTGCTCAGTAGCATATAACACAAAACTGTGAAAAGTGTCATCCTGAGCAGTCAGATGATCATGAATCGGTCTAAAACGTTCCTCTTGAGAGGCCTCAAACTCATCACACCTGTGAAAATCCTCTTCATGACACTCTCGTTGCTCAACATGCATCTTCTAGAATATAGTAAGAATGAATGATTTTTCACTAATACCGAAAGCATTCTCATACTATCAATACCCCTTGAACCTTCTTCTGGACTAGGAGACACAATCCTTCTTCTTTGAAACAAATAATATTTATTTAAGAACACCTTCATTCTTTTATAATTCAATAAAATCGAAAAACTCCAAAATCGTCTCCAAAGTAGAAATTCCTCCTTCAAACTCACTTATTTTTTTAGGGATAAGATATGTCATAATTGAGAGAAAGATACAAAATTCACTTTCTTGCCCCCGGCAAGAAACCAAATTTGAAAGAATAATTTGTACGACTAAAAAATGTCACTTTCTCTTTTTTTTCCTATCAAGAAATATGTATGTGTGATCCTAATTACTTTAAAAATAAATAAAAAAAGATTTTTGACCAATTCAAAGTACTACATTTCATGACTAGTTTATATAGTTTTTTCATAGAAATTTCCATCTCATCTCTCAATATATATAAAAATAAATGAATGTAAATTCTATCATCCCAAATCTCAATGCCCACAAAATAAAGTGATCTAGTCTACTTCACACTCTTTATGCCATACAAGTTACAACCATGGCAAACTCCCTAAACAACAAAAGCCACACTAAAATCACCCTACTATATATTTTTTTTCTATTTTCTCCTATATTTGCTTACTTATACAACCCTGTTTACAACTATGCAATCAATTGTGGTAACTCAGCAAACACTACTGTCTTAGACAATCGAGTGTGGCTTGGTGATAATATTCATAACTCCAATATCTTTTCCTTCAATGAACCAAAATCCTCAAATCCATCCCTCACATCACAACCTATTTCCCTTTCAAATATCCAAACTCCATACTTAACCGCACGAGTCTCTTTCTCAAGTTTCACATACTCATTTTCTAGCATCAATAGTTCCCCTCTTTTTATTCGCTTTCATTTTTACCCAACATCTTATCAAAACTTTCAACCTTTTAATGCATTTTTTTCTGTCAAAGTAAACAACAACCTTACCCTTCTTAAAAACTTCAACCCTTCACTTTGGCTTCGCAATGATGATGATGAGGAAAAAATCACCAAAGAATATTGCATCCAAATCAAACCCAATGAGAAGCTAGACATAACTTTCATTCCAAACAACATAAACCAATCAAATGTTTATTATGCTTTCGTTAATGCAATCGAAGTTGTGTCTATGCCTTCTTTTCTCTATTATACTGATCTCAGTGATACAAACTATCATTTCAACTTACTTGGCTTTGACGACAGTTCTAGCGAATACAAAATTCGTAATGACAAAGCCTTGGAGACAGTTTATAGAGTCAATGTTGGTGATAATCAAGTTCCACCAAATGTTGATACGGGCATGTTTCGTAATTGGGACAAGGATTTTCCTCTTTACTTGGAGAAACAACTTCCACAAAGTGTACCAGTTGATTGGGTGGATCATCTCAACTTTAAAAACAATACAATTCCAAATTACACTGCACCAGAAGCTGTTTACTTAACTGCAAGAAGTTATGGAATGGATGTGAAAGAGGATTATAATGTAACATGGAATTTTGAAGTTGATTCTGCTTTTACTTATATGGTAAGGTTACATTTTTGTGAGTTTGATCCCCATATCAAGAACATCGGTGATAGAGTATTTCAGATTTTCATAGATAACACATTGGCTGAAGGATTCGCTGATGTGATAGTGTGGAGTGGTGGTAACAAGATTCCTGTTCATAAGGATTATGCTGTGATTATGAACAGTCAAGAAGGAAGCTCTCAAAATAAAAGAGTTAATCTTTCAATAAAACTACAACGGGCACCAAAATATATTTACACAAAATACAGTGATGTCATACTGAACGGAATTGAGATTTTCAAAATAAATGATAAAAGTAACAATCTTGCAGGACTGAATCCGAGTCATTCATCTGCAAAAAGAAAGGCGTTACCAAGTCTACAGCCAAAGCCAAAGAATTCATCAATAGTTTTTGTTGTGGTTGGAGTTTCATGTGTTCTGCTAGCCGCGGGCATAATAGTTTTTGTAACAAGGAGAAGATGTGAGTCGAATTTTGAAATAGAAGAAAGATTATGGAAGAAAAAGAAAGAAGCTTCCTCAACTTTACCATCCCATTTATGTCGCTATTTTACAATAGCGGAGATAAGAGCTGCTACAAACAACTTCGATGATATTTTTATCATCGGAGTTGGAGGGTTTGGCAACGTGTACAAAGGTTACATCGAAGGAGCTACACCTGTCGCTATAAAGCGTTTGAAATCGGGTTCTCAGCAAGGTGTAGACGAGTTTCTGAATGAGATTGAGTTGCTCTCTGAGCTTCGTCATATTCACCTGGTTTCTCTAATTGGTTATTGCAACGATGGTAATGAGATGATTCTTGTTTATGAATTCATGCAACGGGGTACTCTTTGTGAGTATCTCTATGGTTCGGATAATGAACCTCTTACATGGAAACAAAGACTCGAGATTCTATTGGGTGCTGCGAGAGGGTTGCATTATCTTCATGCAGGTGCAAAGCACAATATCATACATCGTGACGTGAAGAGTACCAACATATTGTTGGATGAGAAATGGGTGGCTAAAGTCTCTGATTTCGGATTATCAAAAGTGGGACCCACAGGAATCTCGATGACCCACGTCACCACCGTGGTGAAGGGTAGTCTCGGGTATTTAGATCCAGAATACTACCTTCGTCAAAGATTGACTCTAAAGTCTGATGTGTACTCTTTTGGTGTGGTACTTCTTGAGGTCTTGTGCGGGAGACCTCCTTTAATTCGTTCTTTAGATAAGAAAAACGCGAGTTTGGTTGTTTGTTTTCAAACATGTTACAAAGAAGGTGTAATAATTGAAGAAATGGTGGATCCATTCATAAAGGATTCTATAACAGACGAGTGTTTGAAATGTTATTGTCAGATGGCATTGAATTGTTTGCATGATGATGGGACTCAAAGGATGTCGATGAGTGATGTTGTTGGAGCTTTAGAGTTTGTGTTGATGTTGGAGATGAGTAAGGAGGATAGTAAGTTTGGATGGACCAAGGAAAGGGAAAAAAGTGAAGAGAGGATAACATTTCCAAATTTTATCAATGAAGATGGTAATGACATTACTTTCATGAGTACTAGTGGTGGGGACTCTGGGTCTCATACCAGCAAGGCAAGCACCATTTCCACCTGAAGTGAAGACCAACCTTTGTTTTCAGCTAATGTGTTTTCTGAAACTGGGATTCCAAAAGCAAGGCAAGCACCATTTCCACCTGAAGTGAAGACCAAATATGTAAGTTTGATTATAAGTTAGATGGATAGCTTCCATAAACAGCTAATGTGTTTCCACCATAAGTTTGATAATGTGATATGTTCTTCGAGTTGATTATAAACTTGATTGAAATTTCTAAAAACATTAATAAACAAATTCAAATTTGAGCGGTTTGGCTCACTCGCCAAGCCCAAGACAAAAGGCATTTAATCAAAGAAAGGAAGTTCTTACAAAGAGTAAATGTTCTTCTATTTATACTTTGGGAAACGATTCCGCCTCAGATGCAGTGTAAATGACCAAGCACAATTAGACGATTGATTGCCATCTATACCACATTATCTGCTTTTTGATTTAAACTTCGGATAAATGTTAAATTGTGTTAAATATGTGTGTGTAGTTTTGTGACATTTATTAGCTTAATTCATTGGATTTAATGTCAAAACCTCAAATTGTATGTAAATATTGTGTAGTTTGCATTTTTCATGTAAATATCTTTTAGTTTGAGCAATTTGATCTCTTTTTGTAGATTTTCTTGCATGATTGAAGCATCAGACACTTAAAGACAAAAGCAAAAGCTTTATGATGCAACTTTGAAAGAAAATTAAGTTCCTGCTACGGCTTAGCACGGTCCTGGTGTGCTTGGACAAACCCTGGTAGTGGTATTTTGCATTCATGATCGCGCTTAGCGTGAGTTATGACGGTTTGCTTGTTTATTTCGTGAGCGCGCTAACCAATATATGCTCGCGTTTAGCGCGATTCCACTTTTTGAGTTAATATATAAACATTTCTTCATAGATTTTTTAGTTATGGAATTGAAACCTTTTTTTACCCATTTTCATCAATACCATTCTTTAGAGGTAGAGGCTTAGAAAACAACAAAAGAGGATGCATCTTGAAGATCCGGAGCTGGATTTGTATCAATCAGCGGGACACTGCGAGAGATGCTTGTTCATCTTTATTCTTCTCCTTGTAATCTCGTTCTTGTTAGGAATTGTATGTAAGTTTACTATAAAGGTATGTATATTTATTTATCATGGCATTGTATATGATCTATTTCATGAATCTATATCGATGTCATCTTTGTTTACATGTTTTATATTCTGATTTGAATAGCTGTTGAGAAATACTCTTCAGATCTAAATCTAAGATGAACATCTGTTAGATTCTAAATGCTAGACATAGATTTAGATATAACATTCACCTTGAGTATCGAATCTTAATGCTTTGTATTGTTTAATAGAGTGAGGGATCATCGATTAAACAATAAGGTAGAACTCGCGACATCAGCTAGACATAGCCATGTTGATGAGCCATACGTGATGAGATGGATGAATGTTTTAGATTTTGTACAACTGATTGATAGATTTGTGTATTCGATAGGTGAATGAAATCCAATCATAACAAGTTCTCATCTCTCAGATACTTTATTTTATTTAAAAATTTATTTTACTTTCAAACACCCTTGTACAATCAAATTCAAGAACGTAGAAACTATTGAACGACAATTAATGTCACACCAATCTCTGTGAATACGATAAAACAGAATACTTACCTTTGCTTAGCCATAACAAATGAAAGTAAAAATTTAATTCTTACAACCTTTAGTTTTCCTGCGTAGAACCAAGAAGAAAAACACTTTTTTACCTGGAGGAGGAATTCTGAAGCTCAAATCTGTGATGCCCTTTAAAGAAAACAAAATAGAAATACAATAACGAGGAACACATATATCTCTTCAATAATACGAGGCACCCGAGAGTGTGATGAAAACCATGCACGACAATTAAACTTTGTATTAAAACCATGCATGGAAATTAAACTTACTTTTTGGTAAATTCTTCGGGTTCCATGAGTTTAAATGGTAATTGTACCTTTAATTCAAGTTATTTTAAAATTTTAATTTATTTAACAAAAAAAATGATATGACATTGAATATGTTATTTAATTGATTAACAGTGCAAGCACCAAACTAAATTTAAGGTTAATGAAGTGTTCACCCAGTTTCTAATAAAAAAAATTCATTCATTATAAAATATATGATTATAATAAAATTTATGATAAAATTTACAGATAATTATCATTTTCTTCATTTCCTTATTGAATATATTTATAGCCTTATGATTTCTATTCATATAAAATTCAAGAATAAAACTTTAAAATAATTCTTGTGAATCGATAACCATCAACTCATATTCTTTAAACTCATTTCAGAATTCAATTAGAAAATGAAAGTGGAAAATTACATGTGTTTGTCACTGGGATTCCCTTAGGTTCGCAGGTATGTGATCTTCCGATTTGTTGAGTTCCTTAAATCTCTTTTGATGGAGTGAAGAGAGAATCTTGATGATCATAGTATTTTCATTTCAAGTTCATCTGAAACTTTATGAAGGAGAGTCTATAAAATTCTTCAAACGTTCAAGAGGATATATATCCAATTCATATTTGATTATTTTTGTTTAGAGCTTATGACTATATTTGTTGTTGATATCCATTTTGTATCGTAATCAGCAAGTTAAGCCTAGATCGTTTAAATTGGTATGATCGTTTCAACCCTCCTTTAAATCTTTTGTGTATGCATTGAAGTATTTATTTTGTTACCTATGTGTGTTGTGATTTGTGTATGTTTGTGTATATTCTATATTTGTGCATTAATCTATTAATTGTTAAATCATCAAACACATTGATTTATCATTTATGTCGTCTGTTCATTATGTTCATCTACATTGTTCATACATTCATGCCTCCTCATTATTACCTACTGTTATAACCTAATTTTTACCCTTAAGATTCCATCCTCTTTTTTCATTTTTGCATACAAACAAGATCACAAACTTGGTTACTTTCTCACCCTTTCACCTTTGGGTTTGTATTTGCCTTAGAGATCATCAAACACCTCTATGTGTATCTTTTTTCTTTATATTTATATGCTTTATGTTTCACTAACTACTAATCAATATTCCAAAAATATGTCTTGTAGTCGTTTGTTTTCCTTTGCAAGGTATGGTGTTATATTAAGAACACCAGACATGATTTATCAGCTAGGGTTTTGCTCCCTCAAGGTTAAAGTGTGGTCAACCATTGATTCCCAAGGACTATCTCATCAAAATATGGATTCTAATATCAAAGAACAAAGCTTCAATCATCATTCAATCTCATTTTGACCAAAGATACCTCAAGGTTTAGTATCTTGTCTCTTAAGAAAAGTCAAATGTTCATGTGTTTATTTCTATGCCTTCATCAATAAGTTACCTCAAGCTTTGATAAATTTAGTTAAAGTAAATTAAAGGACACATTATTTTGAGCTTATATGATGATCCATGTGCTTTAAAATGCAAGGAAAGTTCAAGTTTGCAAGTTGGTTCAAGGATGTTTGACCTAAAAGTCAATATTTTCAAGTCAAAGCTCCAAAGAGCAGAACTCCTTCAATTCTCAACATTTTTGAATGCTTATTTTTGCATATGAGTCTTCTTAAATTCATATTAAACTTCTATTTACATGACAAGATCCAATTATGATTGGAGGATCATCAAAAGTTTGAAGATATTATAGGTCATGTGTGGACTTAGTGAAATTTTACCTAATTTCAAGTGACTTTTTCTCAACTTTCAAGAATCACAAATTCTTCAATTTTCAACGTATGAAGCTTAT